GGTTGTTGGCTCCCCGACAACGGATTTGTTGGAATCCGTGGATTGTCTCTTGAGAGACTGTGTACGCTATTTCACAAATGCTGACCGAAACAACGATCGATTCAGTTAGAAAATTAGGGCGGTCCGACAGGCAAAACACGACTCATAAGCTCTTGATAATGTGAAACATGACCTTGAGAGTCTGCTTGAACAGATTGGTTTTTCTTCTTTTCTCTCTCGCGCGCGAATTATCACCTTTTCGCCTCCACGAACACGTTCTAAGCCTCCTAGTCTCGAAGCTTTTTATTATTTTCCCGGTCATTCTCACTGACTTTAATAGCCTTCCACCTGCCTCTCTTTCCTTAGTGCTCCTCCACTTTAATTGTGATTTTCATGGTTATCGAACTCGTTCTCGTTCAACTTGCATAAAATGTCCCTATTCTCATTCTGTATTTCGGGGCTTGTGTATTTTGCTGTTGGCCTTTCCTGCTCGATATGATTTCGGAGGATAGAGTTTTGCTTCGCATTAACAGAAAGGATGGCATGGAAGTTGCTCTCCTCAGGAACATGACCTCTGATGGGAATGTTCTGCTTGCCCATCATTATCAGAACTTCGGCGATAGACTTTAATGCAAATCTATTTCGCTCAATTTCTTCAATCCGTTGCTGGTGCAATTGCTGCGAAATGTTCGGCCTTCCATCACGCTGTACTGTTAAATAGGCCTGCCCTCTGGCAACTGCTGAATGGTGATCACTATTTGCATTGTGCCTGTTCATAACTTTGCTTATGTTTGACCAGTCATTGGAGCGAAAGCAGTTAGACTGAGTGCCAAATAAAGCACAATAGCAGCAATACACTGTATCTGTTGAAGGGCTATATCGAAGCCATGGGGTCTGAGTTATCCAGGTTGGGCTGAATTTTTCGGTTTTTTCCGCTGATTCTCCTGAAAGATACAAGACAAAGAGTTCTTCACCAATAATTAATTAAAAAAAAAAAACGACGCAAAAATGACTGTAAGGCAGTGAGTCTGAGGCAGTAATCTTGGCAAAACATTTTATCATTTTCATGTATTGTTCACTAAAATTTTTATTATCACGACCTCTTCCATGGATGGTGCTGGAAACGATATCAATTATATTTATAGTGCAACAGGCAGTGAATGTATACCTTGACGGGAATGTGTACTTGTGAAGATCACTACTTTCTCATTTGCCCTCCAATAACGACATCTTTTCATTATCAGACAACGTGGACGCTACTTTCCCTTCAAAGTAAACATCGGGATATTCTGGGCCTCTTGTCACCAACCTGCCTGTGGCACTGGCTTCAGAAGAGTCACTTTGTCTTGCAGTAGTTGTTTGGGCAAAAATGTTGCTCGGCGGGTCTGCTTCTAACGAACATAAACAAAAAAAAGTAGTCGATCACGAGTTGAGCTACTGACTGTGTACTCGTTCTTTTTCGATCTATTTCTTATTGTCCGCAGCTTTCAGTTTTGCAACCCCGCTCCACCCTCTACCACTGACAAAAAACAATAATAAAATCCAGGTAACTTGTCAGTCAACGCATCCACAATTAGTGAAACATAATTAAAAGCAGATGTCATCCCTATCAAAATATTCTTGAAAATATTGAATAGAAAATTATCGTGATTTTGAATAGTTATTTTGTTGAACTGAAATGGATAATTTATGCCTACGTACCTTCAGCTTCTTCTGCACGTTGTTCAGTTGTCTTGTTAATTACGTTGAAGTAATCGTGTATCGATTTTCGAGCCATATGAGTGTACTTTGTGTCACGAAACACACGAAAACACTACAGAAGCTAGTGATCACGCTCCTCAAGTCGAAGAAATATTCATAGGATTCTCTAACAGTTTCTTCGGAAAATCAATCACTGGGGCTTCACTGTTTGACTTCACAAGTATATTCCTAATCTCCGTTGACGGCAAATACGTTTTGTTCTGAAGCCACGCGTCATGGCATAGTAACCTCTCCTTCAAGAATACCTGCGGGGCTGGGAAAACTGGTGAGGCTGGCTGACCTTGAGGGAGGGGTACCTGAGGCGTTTTTCCTATTTTTGCTTACCACTCAAATGCATTTTGCCATTATTAGTGGCCAGCACTGAATGATTAAGGCTTGGATAATGGGAATTCTACTAAAAAACGCCAGTATAATGTGAAAATATGAAATTATTAGCCAGCAAATTTAATGACAAAAATTTTTTCTCAGATCTCAGCTGTACGCACGGGCGTACGTGCGTATATGGACGCTACGCCCCTGGCTTTGGTCCACACTGCAATATTATGTTCGGAAGTGCAACTGATTTTTACTTTTACAGAACTTCTAAAAACCTTTAAGCACAGTACAGTGACGCATGAACCAATTAACTTTCGGGCAATAACACGATCGGAAACAGTTTCCACGTATGCTAACCGACAAACGTCTTCACTTATTTGGTCAACGGTACTGACATGATTATAAGCTAATCAGAACCGAAGAAATATTTTGAATGGATAACAAAATGAGATCCATGCAATTTTTTGCCCTCTATATTGCACATTCAATTTTAGATCACCTCCCAGTATACAGTCACCCTAGGCCTCTGTTAAGCGGTCGACTAGCAAATATCTTGAAGTTCACCACCAGAACGTAATTTTTTTGTGACACTTAAAAGTATTGGGGGAAGTGGAACGGGATGGGACGTGGGATCTCGAACTTTGGGTTGTCTAAAGCGACCAAATATTCCAAATATTTTATGGAATTGATGCTAATTCTGCCAAGGGATTTGGTCGTACTGGCCACCTTGCACTATTAGAGCTGGCTTGTACATTATAGACCGCTTATAACTTTCCCAGAGGATGTCTTGTCATATGAAGCATAGGACATCTACGTTTTGAGAATAGACAATGGATCATCAGCAGAATAGAAAAAGAGGGAGTTGAGAAAAATGCAGATGTTCTCCAACGCGTTCTTTTGTGACAGAAAACATCATCATGATCTTGTTGTTTTATTTCAGTCATTCCCCTCATACTTGGTACGCTCTATCCGTCACGGTCTGCGTCTGTTCATTTGCTCTTCTTGGAGCCACAATGAGAGTGACTCATTTTTGTTTCTTAACGAAAGAATCAAATACAGTCGAAACTCCCGCGAGCTACCAACTTATACGGCAAGAGTTGGAGGAAGGGGGGACGTTAGGAATTTCTGGGTGCGATGTGCCGCTGGGAGCCTGGAACCCTTAACCTTTACCAGAGCTAGTTCAGCTGAATTTTGCTACCCTATACTAGAGTAAACTCCCCAAATCCCCCTACCCTAGTGTAGCTGTGTATCTTGTCTAGATAAAATCTTCAACCAACTGATCAGTTTCCTGAAAAATAATACCCTATTCTAGAGCCAAACACTCTGATTTATATACCCTGTCCTAGAGTAAACTGCTTGAAAACCATACCCTTCACAGCGGCACATACCTATATAGCCCATATATGGCAGTACCCCCGGGGTGGAAGCGTACGGGAGGTCGGTACTAAATACAAGACCCGGACCACAGCGGCTGTCTACAGGGATAGGTCATCTACCTCACAGGCCTCACATCTGCCCACTCGGAGAAAATTTTTGCTTAAAATTTCCCACTTACGATACGAGAAGTGATATGTTGTCACGTAAATTTCCTGAACTGCGGGGACACAGCAGTGCAATATTTTTAATAGCGATATTTTTAGACAGTAAAGCTGAACGCGTCGGTATATTTTTGTCAGCGCATCTCAAGCCGCAAAAATTTTGAATACCTCTTAATTCTGAATCCTTTCATGATCTTTTAACTGGTTTAGAAATAATTCTGTATTCCGTGGTTACGCTAAGTAAGTCAAAATTTGATTACCATGATGAGTGCTGCGATGGAGAGGTCTAGCACTGTAGGGACTGTAGTTCAAAGCCCTGTAGGACGCCGATGCGATTAGCCATCAATTTTCTTATTAATTTCGGAGGGTGATTTCGATTTTAGCAGACCTGTCGTCCTTAAACGTCAAATTTTAGGGGTCCTTTCGGATAAAAGCTGTTAAATCGGGAGAGTAGTATTAAAGCAAAACAAAGAAAAGAATAAAAAATTAACTTCGTAGGTTGGTAGAAAACAAACTTCATTACCGCTCTAACACAAAAACGATCTGAAACTCTTTTCGTTTCAGCACACGTCAAGGGCTTTTAAATCCGCTTTTTACTAAAACTCCAGCTTCCAGCTTGTTATCTGGATAGCGGGAAATTCGCCTGTCATTGAAAATGTTTTTTCCGTGAGTCTCCTTTGTTCTATCAGCCAGCCAACAGCCCAAAAGATCAATTGACATGGGCTCGTCTTTGCTGTATATATTTGATTCTCCTATCGGCAGCCCTGTTCTAAGACACTTGGGAATACGTTGTGTGCACGCTTAACCAGCCAAAACCACATGCATTTGTCGTCCACACGAATTTGGATGTTTTTATACGGCACACTTTTTTACACGAACCTGCGGCCTTCTTTCTTCTCGAAACCAGGAGTCCGCTCACCGAAACCGCATTGTTTTGAAATCTCTCTCCCCGTCGCGTGTGGACATGGCGTGGTGTTGACATGGTCTAACTCCATTCGCTAAATCAGTCACATTCTTGAAGTATGTTGTTCTTTCGTCGTTGTTTTCAGTCCGTCTCAATGTCAAGCGAATACCACATTACAGTTTTAATACGTCACCGTTAAAATTCCGTTTTTATCTGGCATACACCCGATCGACATTAACGGCGTTTTAATAGTTTCCAATTTCACAGAGTGTTTTCTCAAAGAGGTGTTTTCAGTGACCATTTTGATCAGATACGTTTAGAAGGAAAGCCAAGAATCTAGAGAAAAAAAAATTTTTCATAAATAAAGAAGGATACGATTGGACGGGGCCTCGTGCTCAAAATCTACAACTGTGCTTACAATCACAAGATATTTAATGTACAGGTCACGCACAATTCATACGCTTAAAGTTTTGCATTGGGGTATCATCTTCGTCTCTTGCGTG